TATGTTTATAACAGAGAAAATGCATCATTCACAAAAACCATTTTATGTGCCCATACTTACCAGTATCATGTGGAGATGTTCAAAATCAACATTGTGATATCATACAAAAAATGAGTCTGATATGGGGTCTCACAACCAGTCAGGTCACGTAGCTTGAGAGCAAACTGGACAAAGAGAAGTTGAGAAGAGCCCCGCGACAGTCGATCCCACTCCTGTTGCAAGGCAGTTCTTAGATCTGGCATGATTCTTGGAGGAAGATGACTAAGATACCAATAGCATTCCAGATGTTCTCTGTAGTGTTAAAGTCATAGAGATCTACATTGGCAAATCAATGTGGTAAATATCCTTACTTTTCAAATTATTGGGGACCATCTGAGCCCTATGTGGACGAATGCTGTCGTACATTAACAGGAACTCGGGACCAACTGGGTCTCTGAAAATTTTAAAATAAGGTTCTAAAATCTCCTTTGTTTACTTTATAACAGCCAGGAAGCTTTTGCCAAACACATGCAGGGTTTTTTGCGGCTGTCCAACATAATGCTTGCCTAAGCCTTTAAGTCTCAGCTACCATAATAATCCTTTTCCCTGATAAGAGAGGGGTGGTATTGTGTCCTAGGCTTTCTGTGGTCGAAAGTACGCAGAGAATCAGTTTCCCAGCTGAATCTTGACTCGTGTAAAAAAAAAACTTGGCGTTCCATAATGAAGTCTTGCCCAAGGTATATGTTATTTGTACCATACTGAACACGCTCTATTGTGTGCTGCAGTGAAAGAGAAGGGTCTTCTAGGTTACAATTGTGCACATTATGCAATATGGGTTCTAGGGGCAGCTTACAGCTCACGTAAAAGCCGTGAGGATGTAGCAGTCATATTTCACCACGATTATAGGGCCAAATAACAATACTCTTTCGACGTTATGGATCTTGATAAACCTTGTACAGGTCTTATCAATATGAAAAATACTAACTTAGTGTGTACAGAGAGACGTTTAGAAACACTATACTTATTGACGGGAAACAAGACGAGAATGAATATACAAGTACATTACATAAAACAGTAGGTTGATACATTATAAACTTGTAAGGAGCCTTGAAAATTAAACGAGGATAGACAGATATCAAATTCGTCTAATATTTAAATATTCACGAATAAGGGAGTATAAAATGATGCATGTTAAAAAAAAATCTTGTTTTATATATGATTTAATTTGAGTGCATTTTTTCGACAAAATGAAATGATATGAGCAGCAGCTTTATTCTATTCGCTTACGAATTAGTACATAGAGTCCCGAAAACTAGGCTCTCGATAACCCGGCAATGCGGATAACTCGGCCGCACCCTTGCTGGTCGAAAAAAAAAACCCACGTGCACAAAGTTAATGAAAAAATGCCGGAAAATGATGGATAAGACGTTAACGTTGAAAACGTACATACTCCTAAAATATCACATAGTGAGGGATTAAAGACTGTACATATACATAGAAGTATTTTCAGTATTTTGAGCGTCGGTAAGTTTGTACGGTGTCGATGTTTTCAAGGTGCTTCGGTAATTGATATACTATTCCTACATCCTCTTGATGAAGTAACAAAATGCGGTGTGCAGTACGGAAGACACTAGGATATTACTTATTTCTGTAAAAAAATGTAGCCAGTTTATGCAAATTCACCTACTTAATTTTCATTATAGACAGCTTTATGCCTTTATGAATTAATTTTCTGAGGTGTGTCTGATCAGGAGAATTACTGCATACTAAGTATTCATTAATTTTTATTTTCATGTAGCAAATACTCTATGCTTTCATTAAGTAATACTTTTCCTTTGTTTAAGGGTATATTTGGGAAGTTTATTTTCAAGCAAACAATACATACAAGGGCAGTATAATATTTTCTAAGGAAACAGTCGTACTTATTCTTTTTTAATTCCATTCTCGATAATCCGGCATTTTCACAAACTTGACCGCTCTTTGGCTCACATTAGGCTGAGGTTTCGTTACTCTACTATTTATTTTAAACTTATATATGTTCGGAATATATAATTTCCCCTAATTTTTTTCGTACTATTTTAATGCTTTACCCTGATACAAAAATTCCTGATTTTATTTTCTGGCATTTTTCATTGCTATACCAAAGGCATGATAGAGGCATTTGAGAATGTCTCTTGGTATATTTTTCATATCTATCATACGATACATTCTTCGTCGGTCTAGAATTGTACTATGGACGCTATTTATTTTTAAAAATATTTTTTGTCTTTCTTGAATTAAACCAAGATTATTTCGAAATAAAGTTCAATTTAGAGCATCGGTGAAATAATAAATGTAACACTTCAGCTGTTGATTAATACTTCAGTTGTTAATAACAACAGCTGTTAATTAATGAACTTAACACTGTAGCTGTTCAACCTTTGTAAGTGTTTTCACGGTATTACTTCATTTTATAATAAGTTGATCAAATATGCGACAAACTTTACTATTTTATACAATAGTTTTACTTAATTTGTTAATTAACCACTTAACAGTTTTTTTTTCCTGTCATATTTTGCCAAAAAATAAGCATATTTTTTGTAAACATTTTTAAGAGGAAATCAATAATAAAAACTCAAATCAGCAGTCAGATATGTTATAAATATTGAATTTAAAGAATTGTGCTAATTTTTATTTTCATTGAAAAAACGTATTTTTCCTTAAAGTTGGCTTCTTTCTGAAGAAATAAGCGAACTCAAAACAACACTTTACAAAATGTGTATAAGATTTAAAAAGATTTCTCTTAAAATTCTGTTCTTGTGTATTAAATTTTAAAACAGGGAGACAAGCATAGTCCAACATCACAATCGGTACAAAAATATCGTGTTCCTTTTTTCACCCATTTTTCAAAATCGTTTCTTTTCGGCCAACACACAAAACATTAACTTGCTGGTCTCACTTTTTTGCCGGTAGGAAGAATCACTCCTAAAATATTTTTTCTGTCAATCGTAAGTGTGCAAAATTCCTGGCCCTCTTTTTTTTCTTATTTACCACCCCATATCTTTCAATAAAGCAATCTATAATATCAAGCCTGAAATTCAAATGAGATAGTTTTCCTCCCAGTTTCTGATATAAAACGAAAGCATTCTAAAATGATGGAAGAATATTTTTTTTGTATTATTTCTTGCCTCTTTTTTTTGTTATTGGGTAATTTGTGAGATGCTGATCCATTCTATCTACACCGGAAGAGAAGTCCGATAAAAAACTTTTATTACTTCCAGAATCATTTACAGAAATTTCAATCTCACTATCTGAGTCAATAACAGAATTATTTTCTGTTATGAGCCTCTCATAATCACTCATTTATCTTCTATCTTAAGCTCCAAATTTAAAAGAAGTAATGTTTGTAGCTTGCGGTACACCGATCTAGTAAAAAGAAAATTTCTGCCTTATCTAGTCTAAAAGAATGAAGTAAAACTTAACCTTGAAACCGGTTTAGACACTTTTTTTGTAATCCTAACTTTACTCGACTATTAGAAACATTGCACACTAAACGAACAAATAAGAGGATTAGAGTTAAAAAAGAGTTACCCGAGCGACGCTCGGGCAAATCTGAGAAGTGCCATTTCAAGTGCCCGAGTGGTTTTCGCGTAAAACTGGGAAGTGATTAAGGTTTAGACATATAACTATCTAATTGTGAATAAATATTGAAAAATTTGCCTTATTTGCATTTATTTGGAATATATGTATATGCATATACATGAAAGGTTAATTTTAATGCCAAGATCTTAAAATGTGGAGACAGCATGGACATGGAAGGAATTGGAAGAAAATGAAACGAAATTTGAATATTGCTTTTAGGTATAGTTTTAAAATGCACAATTTGATAGTTTACTGATAAGCCTCTGAGGAAACATTTCCATAAATTTGGTGTGAATTTCACACATATTTATCCTACGTAATTTAATCTAGTTTTATATTATATTTTGGTTCATATTATTTTTCTTAAATTTGTCTTCAAATTAAAATATCACGTACCGTTAACTTCATGTAGAATCATTTCCAAAAATACCCCCTTTTCACAATTTGAAAATCATTTAAACATGAGAGAAGGGTTACAATCTAAATGAATGGCAAATAACCTTTGCGTGTATTTTCTTATAATTACAATTATCAGAAATAGCGATTATTTTAATTTAAAACAATCTTGTTTATATAAAAATAGGTTTCTAAAGAATACATTCGAACGGAATTTATGTTAGAATCTTAATTCCATTAAATTAAATTAAATATAAAGAACATTAAGAAATTATATTTATCAACAAAGTTAATATATTTGACAAGAAAAAAAGTATCAAAGATGAATAGAGGGGAAAAGATTAAACATTCAAAATAAGAAGTTACAAATAAAATTTAGAGTAACATAAAAAATTATAGAGAGGGCTATAATTTCACAAGTCTCGAAGAGAAATTCAAATTAAACATCAGTTTGAAAGAGGCTTATTATTAAAACTGTTTTTTACCAAAATTGAATTGCAATATTCTTTTGAGAAATCGTCTATATTTTTGAGAAGTTAACTACAGACAATGACTACCCCTGGGATGATTTTTAGGACTCTTATTAAAACTACATAAAACGTTGCACTTTTAATTCAAAACTTTACCGTACTTATGTTTTGTAATTAAAAAAAATTCGGTACTGGAATGATAAAACAGAGAGAAGACACCTTTTACAAATCAATGAATTTGTGAGTAACAATGTAATAAGTAATATAAAAAAAAATATTTTTAGTCCGTTCCTACTTAGGCCAACAAAGAAAATTTTTATTTTAATTACTTTTTGTTAAATAATTACTATTAATATAAATATGTAACAAATCAAAATATTAAGGGGCAAAATAAAAAGGGATTTTCTTTGCAATTTTCCATTTTCTTTTCAATATATGGTGTTGGACAATTACTATTTATATTCATTAATTAAATTTAATTATTCCATTAAAATAGTATAGTATAAAAAGATATCACATTCTCAGAAATTAGGTCCTTTCAAATGGAATTCGAAGCCACGTCCTTCGGATTAGAAGTCCAACACGTTAACCATTGCTTTACAAGAACACAGCGGACAATTCTCATTTCTATATATGCTGTTGGACTATTATTTTTGTGTTTCTTACTATTTATTTATTTTTTAATTTAAATAATGAATTAATATTTGAAAAAACTGTATTAACATCACGTGTCATCCACTACAACTTTAAAAAATGTATTTGAATTTGAATGGATGAGTAGAAAGTATTTTATAACGATTGAAAATTTGAACAAGATATATATATATATATATATATATATATATATAGGGAGAGAGAGTGAGCTAATAGAAGGAATCGAAAAATTGTACTTTGAGAGATAATTAGTTTGATCTTTCTACTGTTGAAAAAGTTATATATCTACTTTTATTGCATTCTAATTAATAAAATATAATTGCAAATATCTTAGTTATGTAATATAATTTTTAATACTATCTTTAAAAATAAGTTTAAATTTAAAGATTAGACTTAGTTTTTTAAAATTTGTTAATTAAATCATCTGTAGACTGCATTATTTGTCACATAAAGAATAAGGACTTGTTTTTATAACGGAAATAATAGATTCTGTTCAAATCACATTCTTCGAACATGCTAAATTGTGATAAATATTTTATACTTTATTCCATAAAAGTGGCGAAAAACAGGATAATTTAAATGAGTCTCATTTAATCCTCCCATTATCCATTTCGTCTCTTAAGCGTTAACGTCAGTAGAATTCACGTTCATAAAGCATCGTCGCTGAGATCCTCAATTCAAATGTAGAGCAATGCTTTATTTCAAGGCTATTCATAAAATTGTCAAGGGCTCTTTTGGAAGGTTTCGTATTCTCGACACAATTGTCTCCTCCATATTCTTATTACTTTCAACTATAATTATTTCAGTTATAGTACTTTTGTGAGTAGTACGTCAGATATCGTCACGTAGTCGATGACAATTATGTTGTTTTCAAGTGCGAAATATCTGTGATCCAAAATTACCCTGTTTAACTCAAGTACGTCATCATTTGTTCCTTCTACGTCATATCGACGACTAACAGGAATTACTTTTTTTTTTCAAATGTAAAATTATCGGAGAAAGTTGAGATAAGTGAAATAATTAGTTTCCCGGATCTCTTTCGTTGGGCTCGTGTGTATGGACGTAATAAGCAGGAATTTTATAGAATGTATTTAATACTATGTTTACTGTAATACAATAATTTCTAACTCTAAATTCGTGCAAGATAACAAGTATGCCTTTTTATTAATATCATATTAAGGTTGTGAATAATGAAAATAAATGCGAAAATATTTAATGATAATTTACGAAAAGTCATTACTATCAGTCATCTGAATTTGTCAGTCCAATTCTGCATCACTCTCTATTAAATCCCAAATTTATCATTAAATATGCTGCAGTTTCAATTAAATGTGTTTCCTTTCACTCTTAGTATTTTAAAAACATTATTTCTACTATTTAGTAAAAAAATATTAAAAAGTAAAATGAGAACTCCATAAGAGCTTAATGTTGATCATTTATTTAATTAAACATACATATATTTGTGTTGTTTTAATCGAAATCTATTTATTGCTTTGATGCTAATATCTTATCATTTACATATATGTTTTGTACTAAAATAATTGTTTACAGATGTTATATAATGAAATAGACCCTGTAATTATCCCTCTAATAAAGCCTTAGTAAAATAAGTGTTTTACAGACCTAAAAGAAAATTTTGCTTAAGAATTAAAAATGCTAAATTTTAAAGCATTAAAGATAAAGAGATAAATATTACTTATATCTTTATCTTTTCGTTTAAGAATAAAAAGAAGTGCTATACTATTCTTAGATGAGGTGATAAAGGACACACTCCGAACATTTCAATATCATTACTAAAATGACGCCGTATTCGAATTAATTAAAACACGGTGTAATTTTTTGTATACTTGCATATGAAATCTTTATTTTTCTGTTTGAAATATCTTCAATATATTTAATTTGGAAATTTCATTTCAATATCCAACATATTTTTCACTGATTATTGCATTCATATAAATTGTTGAAAAAAAGTTTCTTTTTGTTGTACTTATAAATTAAAGTTCTACTTTTACATGTAGTAATTGTTGATACTGAGTATTCAATTTACCATTCTTTTTAATACAGCTAGAAAGCCTTTCGTTTTTCTTAGAATTCAATAAAATCAATAAAATAATTTGGTAATATGTACCAAAATTAAAAATAACACACCATTTTACATGATATTGTAGATCTGCAAATACCTTATATTAATAAATCATTGTTTTTTGAAATTAGATTTTAACCACATTATGCTTAACATAATGGTTTTTGTACTATACATTCTTACAAAAAACTAATTTTAAAAATAAGCTTCTGAACTTATTTACAAAAGATTTATTCTACAAAACAAAAATTTAGATTACACTTTAATTAGACAAGATATTTCATACTTTTAAAATTAATTACCTTCGATGATTAAAATAGACAGAAATGTTTTCAATGGCTAAATGAAACTGAATATTTTGATAGATTCATTAAAGAGGAACAATACAAATATTACTGAAGAATATATGGTCACTTGTTATACATATACCTTTCAAATTAAAAATCGAAATATATAAACTTCTGATTATAGAATAAAATGCGCCCACTTTGCTACTCAATTTATATTTTGTTTAAAAAATTACGTCCATTTTGTGTTTATATAATAACGGCTAACCACTTCCTTAAAATTAAGCTTTTGATTTGTCAGGCTATTTTCTATTGTTTTATGTATTCTAATACATTTAAGACTATAAAATATTGCTTATCTTCTATAAAATCGCAATTTAGAATAGTCTTACTACAGAATATATTTATTAGAAAACCAATTGCAACATTCACAGCTTTTAAGAAGTAATTCCCACTAGAAACAAAATCATCAGACTCTCTCTTTTAATTCAACCATACTTTAAAAAACCAAAATTCTGTCTCTATGTTTTTTAGATCAAGAATAGTTGTTCTAAAAATTGTGTATTTGCTCTGAAAGCTTAAAGGAAGCTAAATATGCAAGATGAGTTTAACTAAAAGTAAATATTTCCGAGGCTTTTTAAAAAAGAATTACTTTGAAATAGGTTTCATAAATTCTCCGAGACAGATATTAAATTTTAGATCTAAGCGCTTAAACAGTATTTTCTGGTCATTCTGTAAAAGATAAACTCATTCTGCAAAAAAAGACCAGAGCCTTTTTAAAAATTTTTACCATGTTTTTATTGACTCGCTTTCTTATATGTCTGACCAGGTGGAATTTTGTAATTGATTTTAAATTAACTTCCCGATGAGCTAGAGACTTGAAATTTAGACCATAGCTCAGAAGTGGCTGAAAATGTGTATAAAAATATGGTACATTAAATTTTTTTTTAATTATAAAATTGCTTGTTATTACATGAAGATAGTTTTTTTTATAAATGAAACTACGAATGAAGTCTGAGTTATTTTCATTCATAAAACCATTATGTTTATGAACATAATTATTGATGATAAAATTCAGATATGCCGTATTTATTTTTTGACATTGATGTATAAAAAAGCCCCAAATAATGTTTGTCATTGCATATAATTTTTAATCAATTATGTAAAAGGCGTATTCAATTCTTTTGAGGATAAAACTTCATTTTTATCTGCAATTTTATAAATGCAGATAAAAATAAATCCTTTACTTTGTCACATTCGCTATCTCTATAACAACCTTGAAGCTGCGAATAGTTCAATACGCCATTTCCTGTAACTGAATGCGATTGAAAAAAAATATCACAAACAAAAGAGCTATATAAGCGTCATTGTATATTATAATATTTTACTACCTTACAACTATTAAATCGTTTTACTTAATGCTAATGCATATTAATATGTGTATTTATGAATGTTAAAATTATGAGTTAATTATAATTTTTATGAAAAGTTTTATGGAAAATTATCTATCATCTTTATCATATATGTATGTTGCAAAAAGCATTTAATTAAACATGCTTTGTTCATCTGAAAAAACTTTATGCATTTCTTACTTAAAAAAACTAAAAATTTACAGCAATTTACATTACAATATAACCAAAAATAATCCTTTTCATTAGCAAATTATTAATCTCTGAAATAATTCAAAGTTTTTAAAGAGAATTATTTTAATTTCATTCAGAATGTACTTTTAATACCACGATAATAGAATTTGAATACATTTTTTACGACAATATAGTTTTATAAAAAATGGAGGTATAAAATATGTGGTTGTAGTAAAAAAATAAAAATTTAGAAAAGAAAATTAATAAACTATGAAATAAAGTTCTGTACTAAATAACTAATTATAGCATTCATACTTATTGCGTATTTAGTTCTCAGAAAGCAATAGGTATGGAGATTTTGTGACATTTTAGCATTGGAGAATATTTATATAACCCCACTTCAAATTTGTTTTCCAATTTCATGCTTACCATTTTAAATTTTATTTATCTGCACTCTGTTTAATCATAAAACAAACATTGCTTTAAGCAATAGAATTGTAGAGACAATACATAGTGGAATTTTAACCGGAAGTTTCTTACAATTCGTTTTTGAATTCTGCTGAATATAATATTGGAAATTACGATAAATGCATATTGATTAGCAAAATAATCCTTAGTATTACATCTCTTTTGACTAAAATTCTACACAATATTTATACAAACTGAAGATACAAATATGAAATCCGAATAATGAATGATCATAACTAAATACAAACTGTTTATGCACTCGTGCATGAACATGTGATTAGAATTAATAAATATACATTTACTTAATAATACAATTGAAGATAAAAAGGTTACATAGGCTGTAAGCATAGTGACTAGAGTCCACTGGTCACTTCTATCAGTCTGAAAGACGTATCTATCATGCTTGATATGGCTGTACAAAGATCCTTCCTGTTTGATGTAGTAGCAATACAAACCGAGTTTTGCTACCAGATCTAGTTGTTTTCTGTGGTGACTGTATGGAAAATTCTAGGAGTTCCTGTGTTGGATG